GGGAGGGGGGAGAATAGGGGAACCCATGGCTGATATGTAGAACTGAATGGTATTGTAAAATAAAAAATATATATCACAAAAAAAAAAAAAGAAAATCTACAGTCATTCATTCATTCACTCACTCATTCATTCATTCATCTCTGTGTGTGCATATGTGACAATGCCCCTGTGGAAGTCAGAGGACGACCCACAGGAATCAACTCTTTCCTTCCACCACATGGGTCCTGGATTTTGAACGCGGGTCTTTAGGAGAGGCAGCAAATGCATTAACTCACTGCACCACCTCGCTGGCCTGATGCCTAGACTTTCGGTTATGAAATGGCTCGCGGAGGCAGGTGGGAGCAGTTCGCAGAAGGAGAGGCATGTACTCAGGACTTAGCGTGCAGACACTCCAGCACAGTGAGGATGGAAGAAACTCCAGCTGTCTTCCTCTTTTACCCACCCAACGGCAGGCTGGAAGATATCAATAAGATCAGAGCACTCTGGGCAATGGGCAGGGTCTTATTTATTCACGGTGGGTAACTCACTGGGTGGATTGTGATCATCTCCTGAAGGGCAATTCAGCAAAAACTCCTTTAAAACTATGTTGGAACACCCTGACCCAGAAATAAGCCCTGGCAGTATATCCTACGGGATGCTCTGGATCTGATCTGACTTGTGAATGAGGCTGCCCAGCTCCGCCTTCATCCTCGAATCCAAAGCCAGAACCGGAGTGAATCTCCCAGCACACACTGGGCTTCCACAGACCATCAAACACCGCATCTCAGAGACGGCTTAGGAATCCCAGAGCTTGAAGCAGCAGCATGCTGGCAGACGGCCTGCCTGGTCCATTCCTGTGAGCGAGCTGCGGGGGTAGGTTGAGACCATTGGATATAAAAGTGATTTGTTCCTGTCTTCTGTACATTTGTGTTTCTGGTATTTTCTTTTAACCGGAGCCATATAACACTTTTATGTTAAAATAATATGGCGAGGTGACGTTGCAAAGTGATTTGTGACCCACGGGAGCCTCACAGCTGTCAGGCCACAGAGGAGAGGAGGTGCCGGGACTCGCTCGCTCGCTCTCAGGGGTCGTGGTGTGGGTCTGGTTCAATGTGGTGTTTGGGGGAGCTGGTCCAAAGCCTCTCGGTGCAGGGTGATCCCTGTCCTCGGGGAGGATTGAGGACGCGTAGGCATCCTTCTTGTCCAAGCACAAGTGCCCAGTTCCCCCTCCAGGGTCAGAGCAGCAGAACACACAAAGATGGGGCCTCCATCTCGAGCCAGATCAGACAGGCTGTGTTATGGGGCTGCCTCTTCCTTTGAGGACAAACACAGCTCTTGGCTCCTCCCTGTGTCCTGGGAGTCCCTACTCAGGTGTCCCTTCTCCCCAGCTCCTTTCTTTGGCTTTTTTTTCTTTTCTTTTAAAGACAGGTTCTCATGTCCAGGCTGGTCTCAAATTCACTATGTAGGTGAAGACGACCTTAACTCCTGATCCTCCTGCCTCCGCCTCCCTCCCAAGGGCTGAGATGAAATGTGTGCTGGGGATCGAACCCAGGCTTTGTGTAAGCTAGAGGAGCACTCAAATTAATGCCCTCAGCTACTATCGACATCCTCCGTGTTCCTCATACCTCTTCTAGACCAGGCTGGCCTTGAACTCAGAACTCAGAGATCTGCCTCCCCAGTGCTGGGATTAAAGGCATTGTCTTTCTAAAGAATTTCTCTGCAAAACACATTTTTACAACAGTGTGGGCTCTTGGCTGTGATGACAGTGGGGTCTTAGTGGACCCCAGCACCCGATGATATGGTTTATATAGTACGCGCACAGAAATAATAGAAATATTAATATCGCCGGGCGGTGGTGGCGCACGCCTTTAATCCCAGCACTCGGGAGGCAGAGCCAGGCGGATCTCTGTGAGTT